ACACAGAGAGAATAAAAGCATCTCAGGGAAAGAAACTCATTAACTGCTTGAACCTAACCCACACTTTGATTCACCAGCAAAGGACAGAAGTCTAACTGGCTCAAGGTGCTTAAACACAATCTCTGAACTATCACTGACCACTAACCTATGCTGTCCTAGATGTGGCATCTAGGAGGCCAGTCTTAAAAATAAAAATAAAAATAAAAATAAACTAAAACTGAGCGGAGACATAAGCAGCTGCATACTTCAGGGAAGACAGTTTCTAGAGTATTAATCCTGATAAGTTACTGAACAAACAAAAACAACAACAATAACTATGATGGGGAGGATAAGAGATGAGTCACAATACAGAGTTGCTACAATATGTTAGTTAAAATCCATAATTTTGACATGAAAAGAAAGAGGAAAGTGTGATGCATACACAGGATAAAAAAGCATTTAATGGAAACTGTCTCTGGTGGAGTAGAGGATGGGAGAGAGGGCCCAGAAATTGGACTTAACAATGGCTTCAAAGTAGCTATTACAAACATGTTCAAAGAACTCAGGGAAACCACATTTAAAGAATTGGAGGAAAGTAATGATAATGACTCACCTAATAGAAAATACTTTTTAGAAAGATGAGCATAATAAAAAATAACCAGAGAGAAAATTTACATTTGGAAAAAAAGTAAAATAAAAAACTCACTGGAGAGGCTCAACATCAGATTTGATTTGGCAAAAGAAAGAATAAGTGAACTTGAAGATAAATCAGTACAGATTATCCAATCTGAAGAACAGAAAGAAAATGAAAATAAAAACAAAACAAAACAAAAACAGAGCTTCAGAGACCTGTAAAACTCACCAAGCACACCAACTTATATGTAATGAGAGTCCCAGACAGAAAGGAGAAAGATAGAAGGGTAGAAAAGTATTTGAAGAAACAATGGACTGAGTTTTCCGAATTGTATGAAAAAAATTATCTACACATCTAAGAAGCATAAGCTCAAACAGGATAAAAACAAAGAAGTCCACACCTAGATACATGATCTTAAACTGCTGAAAGACAAGGAGAAAATACTGAAAGCAGAAAGAGAAAAATAATTCATCACATATAAGGGAACCACAATACGATTAAAGGTGACTTCTCATCAGAAACAATAGAGGCTAAAAAGCAGTAGGATGAAAGAAAAAAAATAAAAAACAAAAAACCCCGTGAACCAAGAATTCTATATCCAGCAAAACTTTCCTTCAAAAATAAATGTGAAATAAAGGCATTCACAAGATATGCAAAGATGGAGAGGACTTGTTGCTAGCAGACATGTCTTAAAGAAATCCTCAAGAAAGTCATTCAGGCAGAAAGGAAATGACTCTAGATAGTACCCTGAATTCACATGAAGAAATAAAGAGCAATGGAAAAAGGTAGGTAAATATAAAAGATGGTGTATTTTTTCACCTTTCTTCTCTCAACTGATTTAAAGGATAACTGTATAAAATGATAATTACAAAAAATTGGGTTATAACATATAAATCTATAACATATATGATAATAACATCACAAATAAGGGTGGAGGGAATGGAGCTATATTGGAGCACAGTTTGTATATCTCACCAGAATTAAGTTATTACTGATGTGAAGTAGACTGTGATAAGAACAGATGCATATTAAAATCTCTAGAGCAATCACTAAAAAATAACTTAAAAACAGTAAAAAATCCAACAAAAGAATTAAAATGTTACATTAATAATATCTATCTAACAAAAAAGAAGGTAATTAAAGAGGAGCAGGGGAACAAAAAAGACATGAGACATATGTCAAATGCATGGTAAAAGGATAAACAGGAGTTAACAAGGCAAGAGGGTAGGGCGGAGAGGACACCCCACATTTTCTGAGTGCTTCAGACAATGTGAAAAGACTGAGATGAAAGAGCCTGTTCCCTTTTGGCAACTAAAAGCAGTTGGCCCTTCTCCATGGGCCTCAGTGTATCTGCAGATGAACCAGTATTTGGTTCCTTAAAACAGGTTTAAACAGACAGTACGTAAAATGTAATCACTTCATAGAGGAAGTCAAACTTAACACTGACTGGATAATGGATGCAAAGAGGAGACAGATGGCTTTCTTATTCTCACTGCTGTACTTATTGTACACATTCAGTACAATGGCTGACCATATAGTTTTTTAAAAAGTCTCCATGAGAGTGAGTATTCACTAAACTCAAAGATTCTAATGGAAAAATCGAAAGCATCACTGATCAAAATATTTTTCTAAGCACTGTCCTCTTGCTCAGGCCAGAAGCAAGAATAGTGGGAGTTTGCTCTAGTGGTTCTGGATATACAGAGATCAGCAAATTTATGACATCTTGAGTAGACTGATAATGTCGTTTAAGGAATATCGCCACTGCAACAATGACAGAGGACACATCCTCCCTAAATCATGCGTCAGTCATTTATCTTTGTCAAAATCAGAAGATTCTTCTGTATCAAGAATGTTGCTCTGCCTCTTGTATTAAACACAAGACTACTGCCCATGGCATTGATGATATTTAGCATAAAAAGTGGGTGCTGGCTCAGTGAAATTGGATTCTTTGCAGCATCAACTGATATTTTGGATGGAAGAAAGTGGCATGACTTTCAGTGGCCCATTTTTTTTCTGAACATTAGCAGTTACTTACTCTTTCCTATGCTTGAATAAGTTGTGTCGGTAGCATGGCCACACAGATATCCTTTTGACATGCTACTCTGAATGTAACAGAAAGAGTAATGCTTGTTACAAACTGCTGGAATAGTTGGTAAGGCTGCCCCCCAGAAAGCTGAAACCATTATTCCTCCATAATATTTTCTACTATTGTCTATTTCATTCCTGAACTTACTTCTTCCCTTGAGTTCCATAATATTACTTCATGTAATTCTATCTTTAAATATTCAAGTTTCCTTTTTTTCTGATTGAACCATTCATGTTGATATTTCTCAGGTTTGTGTCCTATGATCATTTTTTCTCATTCTACCCCAAGGACCTGAGTCATTCTAATCAACTTGTGGTGAGTTATTGACTCCCAAATCTGTACCTTCAACTCCAGAATTCTTCCCTAAACTCTACACACATATCTAAATATCTTCAGGATATCTCAAAGTTGATGTCTAACAGGAACTTTATATTCAACATGTTCAAATGTGAACTTACCCTTTTTAAGGCTATAACTCCTTTTGATTAATAGTTCCATCATTCATCTGAGCTAAAACCTAGGATTCACTCTGGACCCCTTTAAATTCCACGTTCAACTAGTAACCAAGTCCCACTGATTCCACCCATCAACATCTCTTATATATACCTCCCCACCTAGTTTCCTATTTACTCCTGCCTTAGTTCATGCCCTCATCATCCCCGATGTTTTATTACAATAGTTTACCTGGTCTTTTGGCTCACCCCTGCCCTGGCTTCAATCCAGACTCTGTCTTGCTGGCAGAGTGAACTTGTTGATGTTGATTATTCTTCTGATTAAAAAGTTTGAATGATTTCCTCAGATTTAACACAGAATAAATTCCAAATCCCTTAAAATAATACAAAATAGTAATTAACCATTGGAAAGATCAACTATTTTCCTCCCATCCCTCCAAGTGCAAATACTGTCTGTTGTCTTAACGTAATTATGTAACATATTCAAGTGGCTTACAACACATAAAATTCTTCCAAACCTTTATTACAATTTTTTTTCCTGTTATATAGTAACAGTAATACATGCTAATTCACTGTCATCCTGCTACAAAGAAAAACAACCCACAATTATCCACTCCACACACCTGAAGTCTGTTAAGTCCAATACTAGTTTTGTCTTCCCCAGACTACAGAATTTTACTTAAGTTGGCTTTCTCTTTAGGAATTTTCCAGTATTGATGTGTTATTATAGTTCACCTCAGAATCTTCTTTTTTAGACAGAAATTATTAGAGCCATTATTCTAATAAATCAGGAGGCTACACTGAGATTGCTGTTTGTAATATTCTTATGTCTCCAAGTATTCTGTTTGGCTTTGGTCATTCTTCTCTTTTCTACTGGAAACTAGATGACATGCAAGATAGAAAGGTTTCAGTATACTTGGAAACATACTTTTGTGGCTGCAGACTAGACAAAGCTAAGTTCTAGGCCCTGAGACTTTCTCTGGTTTTTTTGAGCAGATACCCCTGCTCTTACTTGGCCAGAGAATATTAGCATGGATCACAAATGAAAATAATTCAGTCGGATGGACACATATTTTGCCAAGAATATTTATTTGTTATTGTTGAAAAATACACATAGGCAAAAGGTTGCTTAGCTGCTGATTTTCCATAGTACAGCAGGGTATTGTAAGAAAGGGGGAAATATATCTGTTCTATACATGGCAGTTACATTTCTAAGGCATTTAGGCTTAAAAAGTAGTAGGTGCACCTAGGCCCATTTACTTGAGTTTAAATATACTGAGGCACACCAGGCAGGCAAAGGATTTGAAACTATACAGTAAAACTCTTTCATGCATTTGTGTCTTAGGATTGCATATCCATCCCCCCCAGCCCCCAGCCCCCATCATTTGTTTTCTCCACATGAGTTTTGGAGTTGTTCATAGAACACTGGTAATAATCTACTCTTCAAGAGTTTGCTTATAGTGACAACACCAATGGGACACACAGGACAGAAATACTTCATGGACAGGTTCTGTAGACTCTTACCAAATTGAGGCTCCAGTAAGAAAAACACCGATTTGCAAAGGCACAGTGGAGACAGGTTTAATGCATTAAATATAACATGAATCATTCACAATAACAAGTTTAGTGTTTCAGCGAACTTTTGTTAATACAACACAGTTGGTCACACAAAATACAAATGCTTCTGTTGATCTGTCTTGGCAACTCAGATACATCAACAGTGCTAACAGTTTAACAGCTTTGTTCTCATCTGACAGAAAATAATGGCAGTTCTGCAAGGCAAATGTTAAACCTGACCGTATGTATTTATTAATTCCACAGTGTTTTGACGGATTATAGGGGATGGAACTCAGAGGATGCTGACACGCTCACTGAGGGCTTTCATCTCTGTTTCTTCGGTCTCGGGACTGTCACTGTGGCCAGTGTTTGGATCGATCAGGTGTGTGGGGTACTTCAGGCCCTGCTCGCCTGCGTACTGCTCCCACCTTGAGTCATCACTCTCATGGGTGATGTAGCGTCCCCCGATTTTGCATTCCAGCTCTCGTAAATCTAACCAGGTCTGATAATCCTGAGGAAGAAATTGCAAAATATTACCATAGATATGATTAAAACTCATTAAAACACTCTGTCATTGTTGTCAGCTCCCACAACATATATGTTACCCTTTTTTCTTCCACTCCCACTGTGCTGTCTTTCATCAGGCACCCTGAGGTGACAGCATCAGCACCATAGCCATCCTATTTACCTAAACTTTGCAAATGCATACTGTTTATAGGATATCAGGCATCAGAAGGTGGGCAATTAATATCTGCAGTCAAACAAAGCAGAATGTTGGTATTCCTTTGGAATTTAATGCCTACAAATAATCCTTCAGTATTTCAGAGGATCGTTTTTCTAAACTTCTAAGTTCAATGTGAAAATAAAATATTTAAGAGAGAACAAACACATGCATATGCTTTATATCTACCATGCATTTCTTTTACAAGTATTGCCCTGGATTTAAATATATTGCTTCCAAACAAGTACAGTGCATGACCAGGTGGGCATCTACTTGGATATTTATCAGGATTACACATACAGATGCCTGTGAAATCTGGTCCTTGGAGTTTCATTATTACCCTTCTTTTTTTGTCTTCTGTTTTTGGTGTGTGTGTGTGTGTGTGTATGCGTGTGGTATGGTGTGTTTCTCCCTTATCCAATTTTCCTGGTAGAGAAAGAGGTTTAGAAATACTAAATTGTTATTAAATCCTATTAAGTTGCATGCATTTTGGCAAACAAACTGGTATTATAATTATACTTTAAAAAATATGACAAAAGATTTTTATATATAGTATCAGAATCTTAAATATTTAGAAGCTTATTCAACTGAGAAAATATCCAGTGATTGATTTTTACCTGTAACCAAGGGTGACTCAAGGTCTTATCCACGCTATAGCGCTTTCTCATTTTTACTTGCAGCAAGTTATTGATAAGATCAATGGCTGAAAAAAATTTTTATTGGTAAAAATAGATGACATATCTGGAACATATGCATAATTCATTTATAGTTTATTCCACATCTGCTATTTCACACAGTTAAATGCAACACAGTGATAGTAGACATTAGAACCTGAAGAAAATTCCCCTTGAGAATTCTAAAACCTTGGCCTTAATTTAATTTTAGATGCAAAAAAATGAATTGGAAATAATTGTAGACGAAGGAGTATGAGTCCTTTGTGAGTATGATGTGAATTTCTCTTAGTCTAGTTTCGAATACATTTTTCTGAAGTAGGAGTGTTGTTCAAATATACATCATTTAAATATGTGTTGCACTAATGGCAGGATAAAACTAATATTCAAGAGAAAGCATTTACTAATTTTGTTACAAAATGTGTTTAAAGTTTGAATACACATAATGGGCTCCGTAGTCTTGAATTAAGTGACAGACATCTGGACGCCACATTTAAAAGGAAGAAAATAAAGCATAACATAGGCCATGACTCATGATAAACTTAGAGCCTAAAAACCAATGGCCCAGTGGTGAAACACTTTTGTCTCTTTCTCTTTACTTTTAAAAATAACCGATGGGTCTTCCCTGATGGCGCAGTGGTGGACAGTCCACCTGCCGAAACGGGGGACGCGGGTTCGTGCCCCGGTCCGGGAGGATCTCGCGTGCTGCAGGGCGGCTAGGCCCGTGAGCCATGGCCGCTGAGCCTGCGCGTCCGCGGCCTGTGCTCCGCAACGGGAGAGGCCGCGGCGGTGAGAGGCCCGCGTACCGCAAACAAAAACCAAACCAAACAAACAAAAAAAACCCATGAATTGGAATTATATCAGCCTTCATTGCTTTCATAGGGAAGACAGGTAATCAACTTGTCTAACAATAATTTTTCTAAGAGGTTAGAATCACAAACCATCCAGCCTCATACTCTGCCTCTGACTGGGACTTCAACAGAGTGTAATTTAGGAAAAAAAGTGATTCTTCTAGTTATCTAGTCTACAACGCATCTTACCCAGAGTACCATGTAACAGAGTTCTCACTCACCTTTCTGAAAACTATTATTTTCAGCCTATACCATTAATTGTTCACTATTTATTAAATTCACTACCTCATGCTTCCCATTCATTCTTGTAATGACTTCCCATTTCTTTCTTTCCTGTTAGCATTTTCTTCCCAAGAAGAACTTAGTGAAATCTGCCAAACTAATGAAAGCATTCACATTCCACCAGAGTCCATTCCCTCCCTTAATCAACCCCGGTCATTAAGTTTCTTGAGAGATGGATCTTTCTATCAAAAACCTTTAACAGGTATCTGATAAAGATGCAAATTAACTCCCCAACTTCCCCAGCCATCAAGTCCTGAATGAGGGGGCTTCGACTCCATTGTTTGGTCTACATCAGTCTGTGTGGATCTGAAAATACAGTGTCACAGGAGTCCTGAGGCCACCTGGAACAAAGATCACTTTATTCCCTCAGAATGAATCAGAATCCTTCTCGTTATCAGGCAAAGAGAAATGATTTTTACAGGCTTTTGGTAATCTAGAATTGTATCACTTTGATACTAATATTCCAAGTATTTGCCTGCATGGAAGGACTGTAGAATCAAACATCTAAGAATTGCTTGATTGGAGAAAGTAAATGCAATAGCACATATTTAAATGCTGTCTATGCCCCTACACCCTTGCCTTCGCTAGGATACCTTAGGAAACACAGTATTTAGTACAATTTCAAATTCCAAGCATGTGTTCTCAGAGAGCTTTTGAAAGTATAGTTCTCTCAGTGAACTGTGTATTGGGCATGGGCTTTATAACATCCATTCACATGATTTACTCACTGGTGTGTAAAGTGCACCTTCCATTCTTGCTGCTGTGAAGTCACACAGCAAAAATGGAGAATAAGGGGAGACGGGAGAATGCATGTGCTACCATAAGCATGCCGCAGCATTATGCTTCCCCACACACTGCAGGGAATAAAGACATGTTATTAATTCACTCCTTCTGCTTTGAATTCTGTAATTAGGAAGGTAGGAGTACTGCAACTCGACAAAAAGTCTGGTTTGTGCCCAAATGGGCCCCAACAGTGAATCACACTGCCTAATGGGGAAGGAAGTACGGCCAGGGGAGAAACTAGATGTGTCTGAAGGGAATGGAATATGTGAAGATGAAAAAATTGCTCTGCTGAATGAAGCATATAATCACAAGTCTCACTACAGCCGCAGTACACAGCTGACCTGAATAAGCACAGCAAGCCAATGACAAGTACCTCCGAGAGAAAATAGTTTAGGACCTAAGGAGAGAATTAGCGGGAGTGTGTGTGTGTGTGTGTGTCGGGGGGTGGGGGTGGGGTGGGTGTATCTGTGTATTTATAAATATATTTCATGGCTCTTGATAGCAGAAAACAGAAATAATTAACTATTAAATGTTGGACACTGTAGTTAAATATTGGGAACCCGGTGTTACTGAGAAAATAGGTTCATCATAGTGTTTGAGAGTTCCATTCTACTGGTCACTCTTTCTGGAACTCCTAAAACATCCTTTTCATTAATCAAGTCTCATACAACTCAGCATTAAATATACCATCCAAAATGCCTTTCACTAAGCTCACTTTTAAAAAGAGATTCTACTGTTTTTGTTCTTTTACAATATTCTCTTTATTGACCATGTATATTGCATATACATATCATTCATTTATCTGTTCATTCAGCAAATATTCCTTAAGGAATTACTGTTGGCAATGACATTGGGAATAAAAAAGGTAATGATAAAGCCCTGGAAAGCTCCCAATCTAATTGCAAAGGCAAAATATGCACACGTGTGTACACACACACACACACACACACACATATAACATGACAAAATGCACCATTTACTCCGCAACGGGAGAGGCCACAGCAGTGAGGCCCGCGTATCGCAAAAAAAAAAAAGAAAAAAGAAAAAAAAATGCACCATTTCAAATCTTTGACCTTTAATTAATATCCTGCTCAAAGAAAAAAATGTTTTCTTTAGCACTCCCTAAATATAACTAGCTAGGGTCCTAGTGACTAACTGCAGTAGTCCAATCTATTTCACGTCTCAACGGTGTTGCAGGATACCAGTGACAAGAATTCTTTTCTCCTATGTTGTGCCCAAAGTTGTCTTTTTATAACTTACCCACATTAATCCTATTTATGTTCTAGATGCAATGGAGAACTTGACTATTCTATATGACAGCTTTTTATGTTCAGTAGCTCTTTTTCAATGTTCCTGTTCACAATGGACCAGAATTTTCTTCACAATTTACTGACAACTTAATTGTGATATTATTCATATAGCCTAGGATGGAAGGTTTTGCTTTTTTAAAAAAATTTCACATTCATATTCTTAGGTACTCCTAACAAACATATGAAAGTAGTTACCTTTTTTTTTTTGGCGGTACGCGGGCCTCTCACTGCTGCGGCCTCTCCCGCCGCGGAGCACAGGCCCCGGACGCGCAGGCTCAGCGGCTATGGCTCACGGGCCCAGCCGCTCCGTGGCCTGTGGGATCTTCCCGGACCGGGGCACGAACCCACGTCCCCTGCGTTGCCAGGCAGACTCTCAACCACTGCACCACCAGGGAAGCCCCAGTAGTTACTATTTTAATCTCTATTTTATATAAAAGGAAAAACTGAAACTTCAAAAGGTCATATAACTTGGTCGAAGTCAGACAGTTCCCAGGTAACAGTTGAGGTTGAAACCCAGGGTAACTGGCTCCAAATCCCGTGCTCTTAAATACTGTGGCATGCAGTAGCCACATCATACCATTAACTCATTATTATTAACTGGTAATAACCTCAAAAACTAATTAAATTTAGAAAATTTCCAATAATGAACATTAAGTTCTTCTCAGTCATGTTTCCACCATACTTTTATGTACATAAGTGCCTGGATTGATCTATCTATCTATCTTTGTGACCTTAGCTCAACATTTCAGCATTCAAAGACTATTCTGAATGTGATGTGATCTCTCCTATTGAAGGGACTAATCCTCTAGCTTTCCAACACTTCCAAACTGAGTAAGCCTATCTGCTATGCATTAATCAAATTACTAGGAACCTTTTTTCAGGATAAGGCTTAAACATAGGACTTGATGACTCTCCAATAGATTACACGCCCAACTGCCATGCCTATTAATTATTCTTTGAACACACTCATAAATGAGCAATGTTTCCTCCTAGGAGTATCCCATTCAGTCCATATGTTATCATCTTCTCCAAAGGCTACTGTGGGAGATTTTTTTTCTAATGTTTTATTATAGTAAAGAAACATAAGTCCTTGGTATTATTCATCCTACCTATCTGGCAGTAGGTATCTTATTGAAAAAGAATGCAATTATTTTGGAGTAATAGATTCTAAGTAAACTAATATTGACTAGTATTGGTTTTTAGTTATTTCCTTCTCAGTACCAGGATTTGTTTCTAAATATTTGCAAACTATTCATTTAATCATTCATTCTAGGATTTTGACAAGGACAAATATTAAGCTTCTTCTTGAATGATTACAGAATCCATTCTTTCCCCCTTTTAGAAATTCAGAAAACCCTGGCCTGTCTTAAGTATTCTGGTCTCTCTCTCATTTTATCCATGATTTACTAATTACCCACAATGGCTCTAGGAGCACCTCTGTTAGCCTCTTCAATATGCAGTAAGTCCTGTTCTGAACATCAGTCATAGTTTATAGCTGCCATTGAGTGTACTCTTGTGATACCACTATTTCCCCCCTAGGTACTAGCTCCCAGCTGAGACTGCTATGGGTAACCCTCAAATGTAAAGGATCCAAGTCAAGGGAGGAAGGAAGCCAGTAGCAAAGAGGCAAAAAGACTAGTAAAACTGGAGTAGCTACAGCAGTCCCAAGAGAGTCAACAATCAGGAAAAAATTCCAAATGGGATCTCAACTCCAGTTCTGAAACTCAAATCGAGACTCAGAATTCTGACCTAGAGGGAATCTGACAGGGTTTGTCTTTGAAACTGCAGGGTGGCTGGGGACGGAGA